CGTTGAAAAGTCTGCGCTGAGTTTCGAAGTCCGAAAGGCATGTAGAGATACTCGAACAAACCAAATGGTGTGGTTATCGCCGTTTTAGGAACATCCTTAGGATGCATCGGAATTTGATTATACGCTCTTACCAAATCCAGAGTCGAAAAGATTTTCTTGCGAAAAAGAGTGTGCGTAAAATCCTCAATATGCGGAATCGGGTAACGATCTGGAATGGTCCGAGCATTGAGTCGTCTATAATCTCCGCAGGGGCGCCACGCATTGTTCGGCTTAGGCACCATGTGTAGAGGAGTCGCCCAGGGGCTTTTTGAAGGCTGGATTACACCTTCCCGCAACAGGGCATCGAACTCCGCTTTGGCAATCTTGAGCTTGTCAGGAGCTAATCTTCGAGGCCGGCAAAACTCAGGAGGTCCGGATGTCGTTTCGATATGATGCTCAGTAGAATGCTTAGCCGTCTTCAGCTTTCCAGTCAGACGAACAATGTCCGGGAATTCAGCGAGAATTCGATGAAAACTCGTGTCTCCCAGGATGGCTTTGACCGACTCGACGCGTCCGTTGTTAGGAGTACCGCAAGTAAATAGTCCTGTCTTGCCGTCGAGAATCTTCTTATTCCGCATATCCGGAAGCAACTGAAAGAACGACAGGAAGTCTGCTCCGATGATCGGTTGTGCGACGTCCGCGATGATGAATCGCCAAGTGAAATTGCGTCGAAGCCCGAAGTCCGGCTGTAGATTAATGGTCCCGTAGGTGTTGATCACCGAACCGTTAGCTGCGTAGAGCTGGTAGGCCTGAGACTTTCGTCTTACATGCATCTTCTTTCGTGGAAAAACGCTGACGTCAGATCCGGTGTCAACAAGAAACTGCAGCTTAGTTTTTCGGTCCGTGATGAAGAGGCGGCATGGTTGAAGGCCGACATCGCTCGCCGCCGCCAACGACAGCCCTGCTAGTTTTCCGGCTTGTAGTTACAAGGGGTGGTACATTTCCTCGCCTTTTCGCCAAAGCGCCGATGATAGAAACAGGCACCCTCACCAGCCTTGTCGCGGGACTTGCTGCGAAATTTGCCGCCGCCTCTGCTCCGAGATTTACTCCTGCTGCGTGAAAATCGCGCGAACTTTGCCACCTGCTTGGANAGCTCCTCGATGCGAGCCTCTAAAGAAGTCGAAGTGTCCTTTGAAGAAGCCACAGAAGTCGCAGCGACAACAGCTNTGTANTTNACTTCGTTGATCCGGTCGGCTTGCTCAGCNATATCCTCGAGCCTGTCGTTAGTGCGTGGAGCGAGGATACTCTGCATTTGCGATGGAAGACGACCGAGCCACAGAGTGCGAATCAGCGAATCTGGAACACTCGTTCCCGCAAGCGTCTGGAGATGGCGAAGAAACTGCGATGGCTTTCGATCTCCAAGCNCCTCGTGCTCCAAAAGCTGTCGAGTTCGTTGCTCCTGAGAAGTCGAAAGGCGTTTGATGAGCGTCCGCTTGAGCGTCTCGTATTTATCCANCGCAGGCGGGGNGACGATGACATCTTTTATTTCCTTGGCGAACTTCGTGTCNATCTGGGCGAGAGCGTAGGAATATTTCGTCGAATCCTGTGTGATTGCGCAGATGTGGAATTGACTTTCCAGCTGCGCGAACCAAAGCTCCGGTTCTTCCGGCCAAAAAGGCGGCATCCGCAGGGCCACTCTGCTGACTTGATCGTGACTTGGAGCATGGCGCGCCACTTGATCGTCTTCACTCTCTGCCATTCTGTCAGCCTCTGACTGCGCCGCTCCGTGAACCTCCAATTTATAGCGGTTCGTTGCCAGGGGTCACCAAATATGTGGGGGAAAATCCCCACTATTAACAAAAGGGTTGAACAAGAACAATTTATTAATAATTTCTTTTTTACAATTTCTTTTGGAGGTGTGTGTGTATGTGTGTGAGTGTAAGTGTAGAATGTTGTGCTGTGTGATTTATGCCCGCTCGCGGTAGACCAGGATGGGCTTGGTCCGCGTTAACTTCCTCGGGCCGTATCGCCGNAGAGCTGGTGGAGTTCCGGGAGAAGTTCTGCTCGGCGTAAGAGACTTCTCCTCAGTCTGCGTCGACGTTGAGCGTACTGCGATATTCACCGTCTGCGATGTCGAGGAGGCGACTGCAAGACTCGTCGTCTGACTTCCTCGTG